ATTACCTCACTATATAAGGACACAGCCTCTTGACTCAACCCAAAACAAATCAAAACCAAACTACTATTTCTCATTTCTTTTCATTACCATTTCCAAAGCAAGTAAAAAAAAAAAGCAAAACAGCAAATATGAGCGCAACAAGCAGAGCTTGGATTGTGGCAACAAGTATTGGAGTTGTAGAGGCTTTGAAAGATCAAGGCGTTTGTAGATGGAATTCTGCTTTGAGATCAATTCAACATCATGCAAAGAGCAATATCAGATCTTATTCACAAGCCCAGAAAATCCCAAGTTCTCATTATTCATCTGCAGTGGCTAAGAAGTTGAAAGATGAGAAATTGAAGCAATCTGAGGAGTCTCTTAGAACAGTCATGTATTTGAGCTGTTGGGGTCCCAATAATTGAGTCCCCCCTTTTTTGTTTGTTTTGTAATATATTTTTGGATATATTAGTGAAATAGATGGTATTGATCATAGATTCATGTGTTATTACAGTGGATTAACCTTATATAATATTGCTTAATTCACTATAAAAAAACTTTAAACAAAATCTGTGAAGTGTGAAGTACCAAAAAAAAAAAAAAAAAAAAAAAAATACCAAGGTCTGCTATTCATATCTTCCAACTCTCTTGAGAATATTATTCTAAAAATTAAAAAAAAAAAAAAAGAACATGAAAACCGTATACTTTTCAAATTTGGCTCCGTTTTCTGAAGTTTATATCTTAAAAACCAGTCTATAAAGCTCGGCCAACGAATCAAAGGAAACAAAAGAAAAGGAAAGAAAGAAAAGGAAAGGTAAAGAAAAGAAAAAGCAAAAAAGAAAAAACGAAACAAAACCAATACTGAAAGAGTTGCTACGATATTGCAGCCATTTGTGTCTACTCCTACTTTTTTACTTTTGTTTTCCGGTTTTCTGATAAAGACGATATTTGAAAGCAGAGCAAACTGAAACATGAAGGCCCAATTCGTTCTGTTTTGATTCAGAACTCAAACATCTTACTATAATGTTTTTTTTTCTATAAAATTTTAAAATAAATATTTTTTTGCTATAATATTTTTTCACACCTAAATTTATTTTTCTACCTCCAGCTCTCAATTCAAACCTGAGAAATCAACGATGGAATAATCTTATTAATCAAGATTTTAGTTATGTTTATTTCACAAATTTAAATTTTATTACGGTAAAAAAGTTTTTAAAATAATTATATTTAATTTTTTTATTATAATAAAAAATTTGTATATAAAATTATATTTTAATTTAAATTAAAAATTTAAATCAGTAATTTAAACATATCATTTAAATATTTGTTGGAGTCCGGACTCCTCTAGTAGGTCAATCTGTTAATCTTGATGCTTAAGAAGAGAGTGAATAAAATATATATTTTTTCCTTTTTCAATGAATTTTCCTAAATCCAACAAGCCCTTGAATAAATTAGATCATTTTCAAAAATCAAAGGCCGTTTTCCATTTTATTTGAAGAAATTAGTAAGGCTGTTACAGCCGGTTATACAAAGGCATCATATTATTTTATTTTTCTTTTTGAGATTAAAGTGTTAAGAGAAATAAACTTGTGGATTTGTGAAGTTACAAAGTGACATGTAAAATTTAATAATGGGTAGGATGAGAGATTTTCTATATCTATGATTTATCTTTTAATGACTTTTCATTTACTGAAAAATTTTGAGGAGGCATTTACATTAAGAGTGTCTTTTGTTCATGCGTTTAAGTCAGTAATTTTAATTCATTAGCAGAAACTTTTTTAGAGAAAAAATTTTTAAATATAAATTCTTTATGAGATGAAAAATACTATAACAAAATTAGAATTAGTGATTTGAATATGTGTCCCAAATACCTCCTAAGATTTCCTTGAGCTAATAGTTTGTAAAATGACCACACTAGGCGTTGCAGGGTGATATGAAAAGAAAATGAAAATGAGTTGGAAAGTATAGAAAAAAAATAATGGAGAAATGAAGAGAGATACTGTTAAATTAAGGGACTGATAAGAATTTGTTTGGAATGACTTAAAAAGAAAATGACTGCTTTTATTTTATTTAGTTCAAAAGTTACTTTTTAATCTGTTTAGTTTCACATAAGACTCAAAAGGTCTTTCTTTTATATTCAACTAAAATCAATTATAAAGCGCCAGCTATCAGTGTCACTCTGTCATTAGCCTCCAAGCTACTGTCTTAAAACTAACTAGCCGTTACACCATTAATTGAAAGTCTTCTGGCCTCGTTCACTT